GTAAATCAACAGATACGGACTGGCACACAAGTGCGAAGTGCTGTGATTGAATTTGAACATGGAGGTAAAAAGAGATACCTCCATGATTTGAATGACTTGTGATTGTAGCCTGGTTAAGCTAAGGTCCCAATCCCTGGCGGGCTGAGTTCTACCCGGGCCCCGCTGACAAAAAGACGCCGTGACCTCATCGTGAGAACACCGAGAGGTACCCCTCCGGTTGCCGGCATTCCGCCGGGACACATTTCTTACGTCACAGACCAGATGAACAGAATAAAGGTGTGTACTTCGTAAACCCGGGTAAAATGTGTGACCTCACAGATCAAATGATCACAACAAATACGTGAATTCTGCATTACGTATAGGTCAGTACAAGACATCGTCAGAGAATCTGCTGGGTACCTGCCGCGTGCCTGCCGGATACCGACCAAAGAGGGTGACAAAATTTCTAACAAAATGCTACTGAAGGAAACTTTTAATTGTGACCACGACAGCCGATGGCTCGACTCCTGAGCCCGACACGGCTACATCCCCGACGGGCACCGGCGTAATTGGGACCTTAGCTTTACCAAACCTATTATAGCTCCTCTCTATTTGCGGAGAGGATGTAGGACTCGGGAGCTAGTAATACTAGTACTAGGTTTGGTAACCAGGCTATGTGATTTTGCATGTTGTTGTTGTTGTTGTTGTGTATGACACTGTGTACCAGCGACACCTTTTGATCTTTCGCCGACTGTACAGCAATTTACATACCAACTCAACTGAAGAGGAAATCAATCTACGGAAGTCCCGCACTACTGTCTTTTGTTCTTAGCCTCTACCAGGCTTCTGGAGGCTGCTGGAAAGAGGAAGAATTGGTCAATTGAGGGATGACATGCCGAGGCAAGCTGTACTCTCTAGCGGACCATCTAGGTAATATATGCGGAAATGACAGGAAAACAGGCACCAACTTTGTATGGTGGCAATCCGTGCAACAATTTAAGGTTATTTTGTTCTGTGACGTATGCAGTTTATGCGATCCGTGAAAGGAACTTTCGAAATGTCCCCCCTGTGACGTAGTTTCTATTCGAAATGTCCCCCCTGTGACGTAGCCAATTTATGCGATCTGTGAAAGTCGAATGGGTCTATTCCATCTGCATGTTATCTCTCTATTTGGCCGATTTCTACTCTTTCCAGTCGCGTCCCGAAGCCTGGTAGAGAGCGGTAGAGGCTACTTTGTTCTAGTTATTCACGCATCACAATAAATGGCTGTTGCCAATTTTATTTCCAACAGTCTCATTCACGACGAGAGTGCCCAAACCCAATGTAATGTGCGGCAAAATGTTCTGTTCAGCAGACCAACTCCCCTGGCATGCTATCTCTTTATTTGGCCGACTTCTAGTTCTACTCCTACCAGCCGCCTCCCGAAGCCTGGTACAGGCTAGTAGTAAATGTGCATCTCTCACAGTTTACCAAACTAGGTCAGTCTTACTAAACTGTAACCACCAAACACAGGTGCAGACGTTGACTATACGGGCAGCGGCGGCGGCGCAGGTACTGGAACAGCTCTGTTCATCGCTTGCTTCAAGGGACGTGTAGACGTAATGAGGATGCTGCTCAGCAAAGGGGCGTCTGTGTGGAAGAGAGCGGAGGGCACGTTATCGTCGCCCCTTCATATCGCAGCGGGCCGAGGTAGGCGTACTCTCCAAGCAGAGGCTTCAATGAGTTTTGGCTTAATTCAGGCGTATTCTTAATTTGACCCGGGCATTAAAAAAGATTCGAGCGCGAAAAAGAAAGCCCGATACAAAAGCACACACACACACGTACACACACGCACACACAAAATACGCGAAAATTAAGCCAACTTCTAGAGACCGAGCTATTAAAAAAACTAGAGTTCGAAACTAAAATGTGAGCTGCAAGTATATTTTCTTCACAAATGTTAGCTTTCTAGTTTGTGTTTATATTTCATATTGCTGGTACATCACGGTGCAACGTTAGACAAAGGACACTTTCCAGAGGACCCCGCTCATGACTGCCTGTCTGTACAAACGAGTGGACGCGGCTCGGCGACTGATCCAGCTCGGAGCTAGGGTTGACTTGAGCGACAGTATTGGCCACTCAACCCTGAGGTAAGTGTAGTCTCCGCCAGGCCTTTCTACGGGAATACGGATCACAGAATTCGGCAAAAAAGAGAGTAAAATAGGCCAAGAGAGTCCGTCCGCGGGAGGTAGTTTCTTTCTAACCTCCACCAGGCCTTTCTACGGGAATACGGATCGTAGAATTCGCCAACAAGGCGGCCGGCAATATTCTCCTATATATAGCCGCGTAGTTAGTCTGGTAGAGACTAAGGTAAGTGTACCGTTCATGACCTTTATTCCAGATACGGAAGTGTACTGAGCTTAGTCACTCCAGGCGTATATGCCTGACCCTCTATCTATGGCCGGCCAACTCCCCTGGCCAGCTACATTCTTTCTAGGCCGATTTCTACTATTTATTCAGCTTGCAAAAGAGTCTGGTGCAGACTAGGCTGAGCTGTCGATAAGACTAGTTGAGAGGCAAAATGACAGGTCAAAAGGCCAGTCACAGGAAATGGGGGAAAACATGAGAGTAGGTTGACAGCATATGCAAATGACAGGTCAAAATAGGGCGAAATTGAAGGTCACAAAAGAACAGAGTTCTCTATTATTTCTTGCTAGTTTAATGAGTCACATCTTCTTTCACTAGTTACTGCGGGTTTGATGCCGTCGGAGAAGACCTCGAACGCGAAAAGAAAGAGCTGACGGAGATGGTACAAGAGGCGAGGAAGTCCAAGCTGTGGCGATGTTGCAACCCTACGTGTGGCAAACCGGGCCGCAAGTAGGTTTCTTCCGGGTACAGTTTTCGATGTGTGTTTGTGTCTGTGCGTGTGTGTGTGTGTGTGTGTATGTGTCTGTGCGTGAGTGCGTGCGTGCGTGAGAAAGAGAGAGAGAGAGAGAGAGAGAGAGTGTGTGTGTGTGTGTGTGTGTGTGTGCGTGAGAGAGAGAGAGAGAGAGAGAGAGTGTGTGTGTGTGTGTGCGTGTGTGTGTGTGTCCATGTTTAGGTGTGTGCCGGTATGTGTTCGTGTATTTGTCTCTGTGTTTCTGAGTATATTAGTTTGTTTGTGTGTCTGCAGGTATTTCAATGTACTAGGGTGACAGGAAAGTACTAGTAACTGTTCCCTCCTCTCCAGATCCACCCTGAAGCTGTGTGCCCAGTGCAAGCTGACCCGGTACTGCAGCCGAGACTGTCAGAAACAGCACTGGTCTGTCGGACACAAGAAGAGCTGTGGACACGACGCTTACACTGGCGAGGTACCAACGAAGGAAACCCCCTTCTTAAAGGATTTGTTGGTGAAGTTGCCAAATGGGGCTACTCTTCTGTGTCAAAGATTAGGTTAGGACATGTGTGACGTATGCAAATCTACAGCATACCTCCCTGAAGTCTAGCCTCCTTCGCAGTCTTGTTGGGCGTTATTTTTTTCTGTGAGCGACGCGAGTAATATGCCGCCGCGATGGACGATTTGCTTCCGAGGGAGTTTTTGCCGCGGAGAGAAGGTCGCGCTCCAACGAAACCTTTCTCTGTCCCTCGGCAGCAAATCGTCACTCGCGTCGCTCACATAAAAATAACCCCCAACAAGACTGCGAAGGAGGCTACCTGACGTTTGAAATATCTGATTATCCGGGTAGACGATAACCCCACAGACCATAACAAGAACGCAGTTAGCTACTTGTATTTGCCACTATTCCCGTGACACTGTTGTCTTCTTATGTAGAAAATAATGTGCCGAGTTTTGTTTTTCTGTCCAAAAACAGGTTATGGCCATACTACGTTACTTTGTTTTTCTCCTCAGATTGTAGAAGAATGTAAACAAGTGTCTTCATGGGCGGAGTTGGATTTTTATAAAGCAACTTTTGCAGTGACTTTTTTTTATATCTATCAGTCATGAAATGTTGACATGGTTGCGTTTTATATTCTCGATTAATCTCGTTTCATCGGATAAAATTCACTTTCTACTGACCCGACTGTTGAGTTTTGTGGTGTGAATCGATTGTAAAGCTGAAGAAGTGTTTAGCTGTGTGTTTTTCATACTCCATGTGAATAAACACTGTACACAACAAGTACAACACTGAAGTAAACGACTGTGTTCCGACACGGCCGCGTTTGGTACGAGGCCGGTAGGTACACATCGCTGTCGGGGGATTTTCTGAAGTATCCCGTAAAGAAAATCGCCATATTGTACCAGAAAGAAACTTCCATGGGACACGTGTTGGAAGTACAGTCGTGGGAAATCACGTCCAAGTCTGTCTCCTTGTTGTTTCAGGTCAAAAGAGGGGAACACGACATCGTGCGATGTTTGTTTGAATTGTATGAACAAGAAAAGGCAAAACTTTAATAAGATGTCCATATTGTCTAAGAGCATACCATAGGTTTTACCATACATATGGATGCATCAAATAAAGTTGTAAAGCTTCTTGAATTTGTATTGTCTTTTCCCATTGAGGTTAATGTCTCTGAGTAAAAATTGTGTACGGTATGTGTGTTACGCTGTTAGTACAATGTATTAAACATATATGTATGGGAAAGAGGGCAAAACTATAGGAAAACGTCCATGGTGTCCACAGGTTGCAATGCAATAGTGTACAGCATACATTGTGTAGGAGCAAAGTCCAAAGTTAAGGACGTGTAACAATAATGACTGCCTATGAGAAAACTCGTAACTAATATCTGATTGTTAAAACACGCGCTTGCAAAATTCCTTGTTGCAAAGCAGGAATTGTATCCGGCTATAAACTTTAGACTACTTTGAAGGATAGGATAATCGGAGGTGTCTAAATTAGAAAATTAGAAAAGACAGAAATAAAAATTTTATGTTATAATACAGTTTTGTCATATATCCAGACAAGTGCTTTAGTATAGTTAAACGTCAGAAAACTTTGTCGAAGTTTTCTTGCAAAGCTTCCTTTAGAGAACTTTGATTGTAGTACTTTCCTCACCCGCAAGATGTCTCTTTTGAATCAAGATACCGGAAATGCCCACCATTTTGGAGACAAGAGGTCAAAGTCCACTCTATGCTACATTGAGTCTGCTAACGTTAGTACGTATTATCTTACGGACAACATACTAACACGTTATACGAGCCAGACTTTCAGCTACTTTTAAGTTGACATCCTGCCCAAACGTGTATGGAGTAAATATTATGTACAAGGAGTCGACATGAAAACCAGGACGAGCGAAAACGCCACCAAACTTGTGGCCACGTACCAACTCTCTCCGTTCTACTTCGATAGAACGGGTGTCCTGACGCCATGGACCCTCTCGCGTCTTGTTAACATCCCGGGGGCCGAACAGTCAGACGTTTTCTGTATCCCAGGATACGCGGAGACCGTCACCAGTTTTCTCCGGTACCAGGAGTTCTGTTTCCAACCCGGGTTCTACACTGACGTCGTCGGATCTAACTCCACTCTAGAGGTTGTTGCTGAGATCGGACACGTTGGCAAAACTTCTTACGTCTTCAAAGGGGAGGTTCGTCTTGAAACTTCCAAGGAAAGCTTGTGTAGATTTGACACTCAGCTTGTGCACGTGGATATGCATACTCGGCAGCCGACCGCCCTTCCACAACATCTGCAACAGAAGACAAAGGGCCCCCGGCCTACATTTAGCCTGCCGATTTTGCCAAATACCCCGCCCATGTACTCCTGCAAGTTTACGGTCGAAGAGAGCGATATTGACGGCAACGGACATACGAACCAGTCCGTTTACATCCGACTGTGTTCCGACACGGCCGCGTTTGGTACGAAGGCCGGTAGGTACAGATCTCTGTCGGGAGATTTTCTGAAATATCCCGCAAAGAAAATCGCCATGTTGTTCCAGAGAGAAGCTCTGTTGGGAGACGTGTTGGAAGTACAGTCGTGGGAAATCCTGTCCAAGCCTGTCTCCTTGTTGTTTCAGGTCAAAAGAGAAGAAGACGACATCGTGCGCTGTTTGCTAGAATTGTATGAACAAGAGAGGGCAAAACTTTAAGAAGACATCTATGGTATCCAGGAGTATACTATTACTCACTAATACTATATGTTTACCATACATTGATGCACAAATAAAGTTGTAACATTAAAGCTTCTTGGTACAGTTGTAAGTATTGTCTTTTCTCTTCGATGTTGACGTCTCTGAGCCATAAATTGTGTACGGTATGTGTGTTACTGTCATGGATGTAAAGGAAAGAGGGCAAAGCTATCATAAAACGTCCATGGTGTCCAAAGTTGTAATGCTATAGTGCACAGCATACATTGTGCCAAAGTCCAAAGGCCTATTAACATTAATAACAATAAATGACTTTGCCTATAATAAAATCCAATGGTATTATTATCTTTTCCCTGTGAAGTAGACGTGTCTGAACTATGATAAATTGTGTACAGTATGTGCTTATCAGTGTGTGGCACACAAATGTAACGTTATCACATACATGTAACGTTAGATGTGTGTATCATAGCCTGGTACTGGTAGTCAGGACATCTAGGCCGCCGGTACTCTCTATGGTGCTGAAAGTACTTCCCATGTCCATTATTGGGCGCCAGGGCTTTTTTTACGAGGCTAGTTTAACGGGTTCACCCACGCCTACTCTACATTCAGGACGGCAATATGCCACCAAGTACAGAAGGGGCATTGTCATTGGATAGATAGATACAATGCGGTCAGTAAGATGTTCAACGGTTAACGTTACATGGGTAGCCTACTGCCGCCGCGCCGCGTGCCTCCGAAGCTGGTCGCTTACAACGGTTATACAGAATAGTTAGAACGGTCAGCCGCTACCGCTGGAAAGATCTTACAGTGAGGCCTTTGCTTCAACAAAATACATGTAACGTTACAAGGTTTAAAAGTGCAAATTCTGTACAAATTCTGCGATTCTCAGCAAGATTTCAGTGTACTACATTCTATCAACTGTACAGGTGAGAAAAAGACAGTATCCCTACCAAGTCCCATGCTACTAGTACACTAGAAATACGCAAATAAAGCAACTTTTCTCGAAGAATCCCGACTTCGCCGTCCTCTCCAATAGAACGTCCGCCATCTTGGATGTCAAAGGTCACGGGCCTATGCTGTGTACACAGTGTTTCGGCTGGGCGGACCGGCTCTCCCGTTTTGGGTAAGATTTTCTCTTTATTTTCCTCCAGTCAACAGTAAAATACTGGCACGATTGGTACAAGAATGCCTTTTGGTTATGCTGATGGTGTTTTTTATGGTTTAACTGGCGGAGATTTTGCGGAAATCGCGAAAAGTCGTCAGCTGATAATTCGTGGCATATCCTTTGGCAAGGTCCCTTTAATTAATCAAACTGGATATAAACACAGGTTTTGAAGGACGTGGTGCGCTTCTGTAGTTATTTTGGAGAGTCACAGTTCATCTAGGAGTCATCTTACAGATTAAAGTAGTAATTTTGCATGATATTGAGTGGATAGTGCTTGCATCATATAATACATTCAGGGTGGGGGCGTATGCCAATACGTAAACAAAAACAAACTGTGAAACTATGTTTTAGCTCAAGGCAACAGATCTAGAAAGACACAGGGGTGGTATAAAGGTTATATCCTTAAACAGTTAATGGAATCCTTAGAATGCATTGATGTCCTGATCACTTATATTGTTTTATCACATACATTTCCTGAATCATACTACATGTATATTACAGTATGTTGATGTGACAGCAGGTTTTAAATAGCAGTGAATACTGTAGATGAATTTTTTTTCAGGGTCATTTTATCTCAACGTATGGAGGAAAGGGGGATTTTTGAGGTGTTTTAAGTTCACAGTTGAAATGATACTGTAGTACTGCATACAAGTGAATACAAAACACAAATTTCCGGTTTCATGATTTTGATTAGCAAAACCCCTGAATATAATGGTCCCTGCAAAAGTGAATGCATTTACCGTAATGACAACAACAACAGCTTATTTTTACCATGCGTACAGTCCCCTGGCCATGGTGTAACATTCTATGGGTAGTTAGCAACTTGTGAGACCATATCTTTGTATTAAAAACACCGGAGTCTAAAAAGGGAGAATAAATTACAGCGGGTCTGCCTATTTACTGGAATACACAAGAATACACCGGAAAACACCGAAATACACATATAGGAGGCTCAAATCTACCGGAATACACCCTGCATTGATGAGATAACAGCCCAGGTTATTGTATTTTGGCATAAGATAACGTATACGTAGCCCAGGGAAAAAGAAATCACTTAAATACTGAATCGGCAATCGGCGGAGGCAACCTGGCAAGTCGCCTGATGATGTTTGTTTACATAGTGTAACATTTGCTGTATTTTAACCATGGGATAACTTATTTGTGGCACAAAGAACAAAAAATCAGCAACTATCGGGCACCAATAGTCGACCCTCAGTAAGAAATATAATGCAACTGTTTTGCTCCCATGTACAGCTCCCTGTAAGTGAGATCTGACGATGTGGTACATCATGGAGAATACCCAGACCTGCTACGAGCTGAATGAGCGACTGATCCACGTGATCTGTGACTGGGAGATCTGCACCAAGGATGATGTGGAGGACCTGATTAACAAGGGAGCGGACATCAACTGTGTCCACGGCACGCTGCGCCCACTGCACTGCGCCTGTATGGTCAGTGACCCTCGCTGCGCGGAAATGCTGCTCGAGAGGGGAGCGGATGTAAGTTTGTTTGTTTTATTAGATTAGGATTTTTCCTGGAGTTGGCAGCAATACAATAAATAAAATGTCAGTAATAAAACTGACAGATAGAAAACAAAATCAAGTGAACTACTAGCTCACTTCTAATTAAAAGTTAGCAGGAGAGTACTGGTATCAAGTCATGTCCTTCTGCCTGTCAATCTGCCTCACCCATGTGCTGTCAACTTACTTTCATTTTCATGGCATTTCCCGTGTCTGACCTTTTGACCTGTTCTGCCTGTCAATCTCCCCCCACCCGAGTGCTGTCGACCTACGCTCTCTTGCCAAACAGATGCACAAAACCCACAGCTCACCCAAAACAACATTTTCAAGGCCGTAATTCTTTCTCTCTTTCTTTCCAATGGATTGATCATGGAGGTAGAAAAACCTACCTCCATGGATTGATGATATAATTTGAACCACTTCTGCACGTAAACACTTACAACTTGCACTGAGATGTTTAATTTCTACTAGGTGAACTCCAAAGATGGCTATGGCCGCACTGCCCTTCACTACGCGGCTGAGAAGGACTCCAACTGTGTCTCCCTCCTGCTCCAGCACGGAGCCTTCATCAATGCGCCGGACGGGAACCAGGACACGCCCTTACACTGGGCTGCCTACCGCAACCAAGCGCCGTGCCTGAAGGTCCTGCTCCAGCACGGCGCCACTGTGAACGCCCTCGACTACAACAGCGACACCCCGCTCAGCTGGGCAGCCATGAAGGGAAACCTGGAGGCCGTGGAAATCCTCTTACAGTACGGCGCCGAAGTCCGGACCGAGAACGACAACGGCGTCTCGCCGGTCTACCGTGCCTCGCTGATCCAAGCTCGCGGGTTAAATGACGCAAATGACGACGAGAGTTTGAACTTGCTTCTCCGCGCGTCGGGCAGTTGGATCTACGCAACGATGACGGACAGATGCCGAACGAAATCGTCAGGGACAACCAGCTCTGCGACAGGCTTCTTGAGTTCTCCTCAAACCCAAGGACGCTGAAGGATCTCTGTCTATACAAGATCAGGAAGTCTATAGGAGAAACGTACCTCCCGAAAGCCGTGAAGAAGTTACCTCTTCCTGAGTACCTAAAGAGATTTCTGTGTCTGAAGAATTGATGACGTCTTTACCTGCTATGTTTATAATAGCAGAATCAAATCTGATGTTGTAAATTGATAAACCTATTAACATATATGATAACAGGCTAGATCTACTTGTATGTACTAAGCCTAGAGATTACTATTATTGTATTATTGTTGTCAAGACATGACAATGTCTTGAAATACTTTTTTTCACTTATCAAGTTTCAACTGAATTACCCTAGGAGGGTAGCATTGAGACTATGTAATGCAACTTTGAGACTATGTAATGCAGTTTGAATTACTAGTATACATGTAGGTCGATCCATTTGCTGTTACTACCTTGCAGTGCCCGGCGACATTAGGGAGCGGGCGAAAACTACGGAGGATGGCACCCAGGCTAGTTACTATGTACATGGGTGTACATGTATGCTTGCAAATAATTAAGCCCCCCTTCTGCTTTTTTGTTTCACACCATGCAGTAAAAAGTAGATTTTATATTTTCTAGCTTGCAGCTATGTTGTAGATTTGATGACTCTGTTTTTGCCTGTAAAAGATAACAATGGTGAGTCTGATTACTAAAGGTCTATACTGTAACCTTTTAAAGTGGTGTGACAGTACATGGTGCATGTATCTGTCAATCATAGAAAAGCATGACATTCCTATTGTAGCTTTGACAATGTCACTTAGGTACAATCATTATGTCATTATGATATTCATCTGTTGGATGTGATGGTCAATGAACAATCTGACAGTTTTCAAAATCTATCCAGTTGCTTGAGTAAGGTTTTTCTTGTGTATCTCATTACCTGGATATCTAACCTTCATGGACAGATCATATTCTATGCTAATTATATAGGTGTATACTATAACTATTGAGTTCTTCTAATGCAGTTTTTCAACTTGCTGGATTTTTCACACAAGCTATGACTGACAAACTGTTTTTTTCTGAAGACAATTATGTTGTAAGATATGTTTGCATCCATCCATTCAAGTTAGAATGCATTTTATTTTATTTAATGACACAGTGCTGTGTGATGTAAATATATATTAAGATATTACCATACTAAGAGAATTACCTGACTAATTATATATTGACGTTGTATAGTACGTACCCATGTCAATACTAATAAATTAAGACTTCTCTCTGAAAAGATGACTATGAACGTTTTTATCTGAGCTTATATCACAGTGGTAACTTACTGTCAGCATGGAGGTATAAGTATACCTTCATGCTGTCAGTGGCATTACACTATGGATCTTTTTCATAAATGATTACACAGAATACACATTCCTTTTGAAATTATGGAAGGAAAAAAGATACAGCTGTCAAGTTCCTGCTTTCAACAGACTTGAGTAACTTGCACAGACCTTCGCGTTCTATCTGTGTTATACTCAATGTTCTGGAACAAGCTACAAGCTAGATCGTCATTGTTTGATTCAGGTTGTAACATTATGACGTTTTTTCACATTATGACCATTTATAAAGCGTCTTATTATTATGACAAATAAATCAAAACCACCAGAAAGAAAAACAAAAACATGCCTGTTTTGAAACTGAGCTTGGAGCCACTGGTTGTAAACTCGGACAATTTGGAGTTGTTCTTGGACAACGATGCTCTGTTCGTGGAATATTTCAATATTTCTTGTGTTCTGTCTTCACCTTTGCGTTCTATCTACGTCAGACGTGTTCTCGAACGCAAGTCATTGTTTGATTACGTGACCAGGAAGAAAAGCAACAGAAAACATGCCTGTCTTGAAGCTAAGCTCGGAACCGCCTCTCGTAAACTTGGAGAATTTGGAGTTGTTCTTGGACAACGATGCTCTATTTGTGGAGTATTTCAAGGTTTTCATCAGCCTGCCTTCTTGTGTTCTGTCTTGACCTTTATTTGCGTTCTATATACGTTATACGTGTTCTGGAACAAGTCATTGTTTGGTTGTGTTTTAAGTTTGTTATTTTAACGTCACTATTTTAGCATTCCTTTCATTATGACAAATTGAAACCACCAGGAAGAAAAGCAACAGAAAACATGCCTGTCTTGAAGCTAAGCTCGGAACCGCCTATCGTAAACTTGGAGAATTTGGAGTTGTTCTTGGACAACGATGCTCTGTTCGTGGAGTATTTCAACGCCTTCCTCGGGCTTCCGTCCTTTGCATTGCGGCTTCGGTACGACGCGGCGGCCGGTTGACATGGTCGGGGGAGGGTGTTGGGCGTGCAGGGCCGTGCGAGCCATGAACAGAGGAGAGAACCCGACTCCATTCTTACGGGAAAGTCGTAGGAGCAGTAGAGAAGGTTAGTTAGTTCTTAGCTATTACGGATAGCTTTCAGCACCAAGGACAGGCAGTGTTTGACATGGTCGGGGGAGGGTGCTGGGCGTGCCGGGCTGTACGGGCCATGAACAGGGGAGAGAACCTGACTCCAGTCTTACGGGAAAGCCGCAGGAGCAGTAGAGAAGGTGGGTAAAGCCTCTGCCCCTGGTGCTGAACTTCTATCCCCTTTGTTCTTGGGCCAAGTTGTATCGTGGTCATTTGTAGTTGTATCGTGGTCAGTTGTTATAGGGTATTGCGCTGTTTGCTACTAGGTTTGCCCTTTGTGTAGCCATTGTACGGAAAGCGTTCAGCACTAAGGACAGATCCCCTAACCTATTGCATGTATATGGATGGTGGGACGTATGATTATGAAGGATTGTATTTACGTACGTTACATTTAACAGCTATAACATTGCAGAGAAATTACAAATTCAAATAAGCCATGTCTGCAATAACTTTACCATCTATAGCGAACATTTTCTAGACACGTTATTTCGGTTGTAGTATTTCTTATTAACCACCGATTCACCCTATAGACCACACGTTAGGCGCCCAGTTGGACAAGCTGCAGGGTCTGGTGTGGATCAAGGTCCACCGTCTTCCCGCCTTCCTGCAGAGCCGGTACTACTCCAAGTACCGCCTGGCCAAGCTGCTCTCACAGGTGTGACAAGTATATATATTGTATATCTAGGTAGAGACTGCAATTTGGTAGAATTGGCAATTCTAATGGTACCGCTAGAAATCTTGACCAGAGTCTCTGTCAACAAAAAATCCGATCGGGATCTCTGTAGAATCGGTGATTCTACCGGTAGACATCCCGATTGGAGTCTGTAAATGTCAAGATATTTGCTTAAAAGACGAACTTTTAAGCTTTGATTAATGTCACTAAATAGATAGCTTGGCTTGAAATGGGAATTCGGGATTTGTAACTGGGAGAATCGGTAGAGTTAAGACAATCCACTCAGTATACTGATCCCGCGGCAAATACGTTAGCCTTTGAGCTCTACCGTTTGAGAATGACCGTACCGTCCTGTTTTTAAAGCAGTTTATACTTACTGTACAAACCCCAGGTCCCGGCCTGTACCTCCGGCCTGTACCTACACGTCGACCCCGACTACAGGCCCTGGGCCCCGCGACACGCACTGGAGGACCCGGATGCTGACTCTAAGGACTCCGTCAATGACGAAGATGAAGAATTTGACAGGTAATTCTTTTTTGTATTTTCACTGGATATGCTCATATGGTGACGTTTGCCATTTGTACATTGAGGTAAAAAGTGACTTGGTGTGTGTGTGTTGTGTGTGTGTGTGTGTGTGTGTGTGTGTGTGTGTGTGTGTGTGGTGTGTTAAACGTATATGTTTTTTGCTTCTCATGAAAATCATACATAACAAACACTATTCAATGATACAAAATCATCGCTAAGCCTAAAGCTCTTTCCACCATGTTTCTAGGACGGAAGTATTGTTTTGGGTGGTGCCAATCTATGCTAGGTTTGTATGTTTTGATTCCAAAGTAAGTAATGATGTTTTGATGCAATGTTAATCCAATGGCGGAAACTAAGTAAGTAATGATGCTTTGATGCAATGTTAATCCAATGACGGAAACTATATCTACTTCTCGGAAGTTTTAAATCTCTTACTCTCCAAGCAGAGGTTGTGGGGGGATGATCGTTACCTTTTTATACATGGCCGTTTTTTTTTGTCCTGATCCTCACCAAAGGTGGCCGCGGAGCTTCTCTGGCTAATGGATACTGCCTGGCCAATTTGATACTGTCTTTTTGCCACCGAGAGATCTGCTTGGAGATTAGAAATCTCTGTTGTCTTGTCAGGTTTGTGAAGAGTATGTGCGTGTGTCTCGGTCAGACGAACCCGACGCAGACCAAGCAGTGGTACGCCTGGGCGAAGCAGGCGGAAACTACCACCACAAGCCCGAGTGATCAGGATCCCAACAACCCACCTCCCAATACAGCAAGCTACGGCACTCTCTTCAAACAGAAAGGTTTTTGGGTTTGCTGTTAGATGGTTTATTATTATCATTAGGCCACACCAAGTAAATTTTATGGATGACGTCCTTTGGAGACCCTAAATCTAATGCGAGAGGGCGAGAAAAAAACAAGAAGGGCCCTAAAAAACAAAATGCCTAGATTAGAAATATACAAAGAGACGACAAATGTTAGGACACAAATTGAATGAGGTGACACAGTGTAACAAGCAAGAAGTCTTTTAGCAATAAATCAGGTGGAACAGCAGTTGTCGTCCTGTCCTGTTTTCGCGTTACGGGTTTCACGTCAATCTGACGATTTGCGGCACTGTCGTCACTCTTTGGTCATAGTTACAGGAAGCAGAATTTCTTGTTTTTTTTTCTAGGAACAAGCCAAAATCAATGCGCGCGCGGACGTCATCCATAGAATTTACTTGGTGTGGCCTTATCTAGGAAAGTGATACATCGCATTCATAGACTGAATCTCTTCAAACAGAAAGGTTTATGTTGTTACTGTTGGATGTTTATTATTATCATTATTTAGGGAAGTGATATATCGCAGTCTTAGACGGAATCCACAATACGAAATATGTATAAACTTAAAACTAGATCCAACACAAAGAAGTTCTCTCACCTAGAGCTTTCGACCAGTCACTCTGGTCTTCCTCAGTAGACTGACCCAGTGATGCTTGTCACGTGACTTCTTTGAAGTGTGACGTCACTATAAAATACAAGATAATTGACAATGAGTGAGTATGGAACTTAAATATGATATACGGGCACCATCATTACGATGCACATGTAAATATTTAAAAAATCACAATATTCAAACTTTTAGGTTTTGACGTGTACATGGCGAGACCGCCGACGAGGAAGAAGAAAGTCCCTTCGAGGGAAATGGTCAGGACGGCCGACAGTGGAGCCAGCCGCAGCCCGAGTCCCTACCTGCACTCTCCCGCCGCGTGTATGGGCGTGGATACAGAACTCACAGGTACATGTATCTGTATCGGTATCGGTATATCGGTATATTTTCTATTCCAACATTTATTACAAGACATAGCAACTGTAAACTCATTTTTTTCTTAAATCTTTATGCCGCCACGTGTAACTCATTTTCATACTCAGTTTCACCTAAGTAATGCTTAGGTCACATATCCAAACCGGGGCCCGGTCGGGCTGTTTGTACGAACGAAAAATTAACAATTCATATCAAATATTACCCATGATTAGTGTCAAAAACGTTTCTGTGTTTTGTTGTCTTTTATATCGTACCTTTCGTTCCCAAAACTGCCCGACCGGGCCCCGTGTGGGAATTGTGACCTAAGCATAAGTAAAGTGAGGAAAATTCGTGTGTAGTGCCTTTCCAAAGTGCACAAGATCAGATAGCATGGCA